CTCCTACAGGACAACCCGGGCCCGACTAGCACCCCGAAATCTCCCACCCTGCTTGAACCAAAGTACACACTGAGACCAACGCGTAAAGAGGTGCCAGGTTGTTTGATCATCCAGAGGCCCTCAACCCCAACCCCTGGATCCCTAAGCATCCCTTCCCTTTTAGGATAGAGGGGTTCTTGCGGCCGTGCGGCCCGTGCCAGCTCTTCTGTCCGGAGCTCGAAGTTTGCCACGCGGAACTCGCCGTCCCACCTGGGGATTTCTCCAGCAAGGACATCAGGTCTCTACCAGGTTGAAATGTGTTACGTCGGAATGTTGTAGGAAAACTGTCCGAGGTTCTGGATCAAGTCTTGGGATACTATGTGAGGATATAAACGTCTTAGGTACACACGAGTACCGAGTACCCTGTATTTGAGAAACACACAACTGGGCTGGGCGAGCACATTATGCTCGTGGAGCGAGGACCTTTGCGGCTTTGCGGAAGGTTTCAACAATTCAGGCGGTTAGGCTCTATGTTGCCCTGCACAAGTAAGAATCTGCATGATTTTGCAAAGGTCCTAAGGAAAGCTTCTTTCGTGCTCTAGAAGCGCATCATGCAGGGGTTGTAGCCCGGGGCACACAGCTGAAGAACTCTTTTTGGGATTTAGACTTCACGTAACAAGCTTTTGGGATATGGCGGCCTATACAGCGGTGGATACTGCTATAGTCATAGATTACGGAATGGCTGAACCATGGCCCATGCAAAACAGCCTCCAAGAGAAGGCCAGACAGCCGTGCTCAAGACCTTTAGGCTATCATCCTGCTGCATGGTTTGCAGTTTCGTGCGAGGGAACATTTCTCTAGTCCCCACGGTCTTGTCGCACCGTGCTCCTACAATCATTGCCGTGAATACGGATGCCATGGAACATCCCAAGCTAAAGCCTGCATAAAATTATTGCAGAGCAGCAAGGAGAATGAGTCCGTCCGCAAAGTGTCGCAAATGTAACCTGAGGCATATCCCTCGGAAGTGGTGGCTTAATGGGCAATCGCGGCATGGGCTACGACGCTTCGTAACCGAGCCTGTTTTGGGGGATGTCGGGGACTGCGCGGATCAATTCCTTATGTTCTCTACTCAGCTCCAGGTAGAGAATTGGATTCGCTGTAGGCTTTAGAGGCTATAGCTACGGCCTTCTGCGGTCAATAGAGGTCTGATGTCAAGACTGCTTGTGTGTGATCTGAGCACACCAAATGGTTCGCGTCCCCAGTGCCAGCACAGGTTCAGAGGCCATGAATAAATACATAAAAGTTGTTCCCATATAGCCCTTCTACACACCATCATTTAAGGGTGACTTGAATCTACTCAGAGCCTCAACCTGGACCTCACTCCCTGCCCCCTCAGCCCCAAACCAAGCAACTCAAGAATGGAAACCCGAAACCTCGATCCCCCTAAAACCCCATAGTAGTTTTCATTTTCTTTTCCATTATCCCAATATTACCCCAATATACTATAATAGTTTCCATGTTCTTTTCCATTATTCCAATTTAACCCAATATAATCCTCCACTTCTACAGTCTGCCAAAGACGTTCAAGAAACGCTGCGCATAGCGCAGGATGATGCGCGTAAGGACGGTCTCCAGCATGCCTCCGGTCTAGGGTGTGGCGGTCATGCTTGTCAATGTAGCCTTCTCATGAGAGACATTATAGAACATGCAGAAGAATCACATGATGTCTTTGGATTGAAGTTTGGCAGTCAGGGCTTAGATTTATCAGAATTCTGTTGCTAGTTCATGGCATGAGGGAGCAGCAAATGTACGTCGCCGTTTAATTCCATGGAGGGGTTGGTTTTCAAAGAGTGTAGATAGCCTTGCCCCGGAGCAGTCATACAAGAGCTCCGCCGGGCTCTTTCACTGCTTTCGTACTTCCTTTCTTACGCCTCATATGACTCACATGGGAATAAGACTTCTTGGAAAAAGGAACGCCTTCCGTGTGACTAGCAAAACAAAGTAGGTTGCTGAACCCGCGCACCTCAACAAAGCCAAAACTGCAGCTGAAACTCCCCATAAAGTGGGGCTCTTGGCGCCTGGTCGGGTCATGCTGTTCTGAGGTGGGGCCTCTCCTAACAAAATAAAGCTACCCCCAGGGTACCCTGCATTGCGAATCCTCCCCAAAAGCCTCCCAGACCACGCGGGTGGACATTTTAGGTCGGCATTGTGGGGGCCCATTCAATTGGAATTAGGTTGTGGGGAATTTTGTGCCAACTATAGTATAAGCACTCTGAAAAATGAGGTGAGTATTCTTTAGGCGGCTACATTTGACCCCGCGGCCTTCCAGCGCGGCGGTTAGGTTGCGACATCCGCGCAAAGCCCAGCAAGGGCCGCGTCGCCGGAATTTCTTGAATCGGGTGGGTCTGTGGCTTAGATCTCCGGGCTTCGGGTCTGAATTTCAAACAGGATCGTGAGCTTGTACGGTTGAAGGTTCAGGGGTGTGGGGGGGTTCCGTTCAGGATTCACTACGCAGTAGTTGGATTTATGGAAGAGGTCTCTGAGTTTCCTTGTGCTCCAGTCGCCTATGTAGCGTCTCAGTCTGTATACCAAACGTCTTCAGCATACTGTAGAGGCTCGGATGTGGCGCGTGCTATCAAACGGCCAAAGGTTCTAGGGGAGGGTCTGGGCGCTTCTTACCTGTGGCCCTGCCGGCTTTGTTGTGAACCCCTTGTATAAGGTTAGGCAGGAAGCCGAAGCTTGAGCCACGGGAAGGAAGGAAGGCGGGGCACTTTTGATTGTAAATCCTGTCAACAACATATCATATTAAACCCCCTCAACTTGTAAGTCCCGAGTGGGCGAGGCTGATGAGCATCTGCGACCAAACTGGCTTCAGAACAGACACGCAGCATCCTAACCTGGATCTTTGGTGTGAGTCTGTGTGTGTGTGCTTGTGTTAACCTTGCCTTGCCACAAAACGCTGTATGGGACACCGGGACAAAGCAAGAAAAGAAGTTGAGACCCGATGAAAGGAATGGAGGGTATCGCCTTTCATGCAGCACTCAGCATCTCCACTTCTCCTCACCCGCACGAGCTCGTGGCAGCCACTACGGCTGAACGAGCATTGGCAACTTCAAGTGAGACAACCGCAGGCGCCCTACCCTCCATCCCTTCATGATGTGCAGTGAATCAGAAGGCTCTGAAGCTGACCGGGAATGAGTTTTATTCAAGAACCCTATTGACCCGTCCAGGCATGACTTGTCGCGGGGCTGCATCCGCACTTAAGATGAAACATAGCAAACAGGCATTTCTGAAACGCACCTGGATGGAGATTGTGGACACCTTTCTCTACATGACATTCCAGTATTAAGTATTTTGGTCTTTACCTTCACCACCATGGGTCAAACAATCCTTCAGCTGTGGTTTGGCTCTAACTGAATCCTTTTGCGGTAGATCCCCGTCTATGAGTGGCTCTTGCCCTCAGAGTGAGCGCGCAGCCATCTGCGGGAGCATCAGCAGGTCAGGTTGCCATGGGCCTGAGCAGAGTTTCGGGGCACTGGACTATGGGATTGCAACCATGTTCCAAAGTAGCTTGCCTGACCCCAGAATTCTTTAAGTGAGCGCGAGAGATGCGAGGTACTACGCAAGAAGGGAACGCAGCTTGCTAGTATATTCGGTGGTCTCTCGAAAAAATGTGCTCGTAATCCAGTTGCGGTCTAAGATTGACATCGGAATCCTCATAAATACCCAATGCATATTCCTCAACATGACCGAGGGGTACCTACCTTGGAGGTCAAAGTAGAATTGCATGGAGCCCTAGGTTTGGGATGCTCTTAGACAACCTTGAATCTCAGGACTTCGTGAGCGGCCTAGGCCAGGAAAGAAGGCCTTGGATCCAACATGTGCCCCATATTTACCCACAACTAGGAGGATTCAACCTTTCGAGCCTCCTCCAATTAAAGGAGCCATAATATAGAGAATTCCCCCCCTCGTGAGGCTTCCTTCAAAGAAGGGCTCGGTAGAGCTTAAACCTGGCCATACAAGCCCCACTTAGCCCTCTCGTCGTGGAAGCTGGTACAACCCCACATCTTTTGCTCGCATCAGGGAGGATGAGCTACGATTCTGTAACGAAGCAAGTTCGCGGTTCCGCATCGTATAGGCCCTATAACCTAAAATAGAAGACCATCAGAACGTAACAGCTCGAGGCTTGCTGCTCGAAAAAATCGAGCGAGGTCACGCGCAACACAACAACTCGGTGTTGAAACAGCCTTACCGCAGCTGCGGCTTGGTGAAAAGTCCGATGTGCTGGGAAGGGCTGAAATCTGCAACCTCGCAGCACTGAGGAGCTTGCTTCGCAGCTCTCTGGTACATCCTGGCAAAACAGTTGAGCAGAGACTTAGAGTCACGCATCCCCTCATGTAAGCCATGGCCGCTTTACTATTTCTGACACTGCTCGAGGACGAGCGGGTTGTCTGCGCACAGAATACGTAAGCGACTCATGTAGGCACTGTGCCTGGTGAGGAAACTCAGAGAAATCATGGAAAAGTGCTTGAAAAGAAACAAGTGCGGCAGTTCTCTTGAATGACCTAGTTTGCCGTGAAAACCCATCAAACAGACTTTGAAGGACGCGAGGCAATTGAAGCCCCAGCTGACATGAAAAAAGAATGCTACCAAAAAACCGTGAGCCCACAACATTCAGATGCTATCCTCGCCATGGAGCAGTCCGGGGCGTGACTAGGCTACCAAAAAAGCAGATGCAGCTTCTTGAGAAGATCCCCTACGCAATCCCTGATTGCAGAGTCCTGTGGTCATGCCTTAGAACTTAGTTATACCCCAAGGATCCATGTACCCAATATTTGGGTACTCGGGATTTGGGTAATAGTAATTATACTACAGGTTTGAGTTAAGTATATGATTATTGGGTACTTGGACCCTTAGGGATACAAACTCCGACACAAGCCCCGCCGATAAATCCCTAGATTCACAGATTCCTACATTCTGATTGTACAAGTCCCTTATCTTCTTTCCTACATCCTTTGGTCCTCGGCTCCACGCAGGGCATCTGCTCCGGGGGCACCAGGCCCTTGGCCTGAGACACTTGGGAAGTGATTTAGGGTGGCATGAGTTTGAGGGTTTCAGCGTGTGAGGCCTCTAGGGTTTTGTGAGGATTTTATGGGGTTATAGGGTTGGAGTGATGGAAGGCTTAGGGGCTCATCAGGGATCGGGGCGACGGGATCACCTGATCCCGGGATATAAGGCTTTGGGATAGAAAGGTTTGGGCTCTTGGGTTGTCCAAGGGGGTACCAGGCATTTTTGGGAAGCCCCCAGCCCTAACCCTGAGCCCTAAACTGCGAACCCTGGAATCTTGGGTTTGGTATGGACTCTTACTGCACAAAAAATAAGGCTGGCGTCCAAGGGTGTATATTTATTTATCTATATATTTACAGATTGAAGATTAATGGTGCATAGAGTTGAGGGGTTCCAAGATAAGGGTGGTTTTGTTGGGTGAGGTCCTTATTATCTCGGGGTTTGTCACGGGCCCCGTGTTTGTAGAAATGATGAGGCCGCAGTTGGAATGTAGAGATTCAAGGGCATTTTGTCTATCACGAAAATTCGCGCTGGTTTTGGAGATACGGTTCATCAGCGTTCTAGAAATTAGGGCCTGGGGGTTCAATGAAGGGAGCTATCCGTGTTGGGGAAGGCTTGCTGAACTGAATGGCTATACAAACAGCATACCGAAAACGGACACTAAGTATCTGAAGCCAGAATTGGGTCCTAAGCTGTGAACAGCCTCATTCCAAAGTGAGTCACAAGAAGATAGCCATAACGCTGACAAACATGCGGGTAATCCCTATAAATCTTGGCCTTAACCTCCTAAATCCTAACCCTAAGGCGTAAACCTTAGCCTTAGCCCCTATACGCCGAACCCTCACAGCCCCCAAGAACGCTAACCAGGCTCCCAACTTGCCGTGATGACATCCACCTGTGCTTACCGGTGCTTATGGGTTTAGGGTTTGGGTTTTGCCTATAGAGCTTCAGGGAAGAGTGGGAAGTGAATGTAGATACTATTAATATACGTGTGAATAGCTCCAAGAAGTGTATGGCCGCAGCCGGCCGGGACTTCAACAAAGTAGGGTGTTGTGTTCAGAGATGAAAACTCCCCTTACGGCTGCTTAAGTTTGGGGACTTGTCACCACAAATAGCTCTACAAATCCCACGAATAAGGTCATGAAAAGATTGCAAAGAGATCATATGGTAGGTTCCCAAAAATAGGGTACCCCAATATAGACCCCAATATACTATAGTCCTTATTATGGGGGCCCCCAAAAAAAGGCACCCCTAATTTTGGGAAACCCCCATAGAGGTCCCTCTAGAAGACAGTCTAAGGATGATCTTGAGGAACATACCAGATCAGATGATTCGGATCCTTAACTTGAGGCCCCCCCGCTCTACATGCCCCAGGTGCATGTATAGAAATCTCTAATGTGTTCCATTCAAGCTGCAGGCTTTGGCAATCTTTGGATTGTATGCCCTCCCCAAGAAACGGAGGAGCAAAGAGCACCCGATCTGGCTTGGCACTGCAAAGGTTGCAAACACCCATTGGGATCCCCCAACCATCTCAGAAATATTGGCAACACCCTTTTGGAACCCCCAAACATCTCAGAAATACTCAACTACACTCAACTCAACTTACACTTACACCCTAAAGGAAGTGAAGGGGTGCTCGGTTTGTCTCCCACACGCTGTCCTTTGGAGACCGCTTTAGATCTTTACAGTTTCGGGTATGGGTCTAGAGTATGGAAGAATTTTGCTCCCAAAACTAGGAGGTTTAAAGCTTCACGGCTGCCATGCGCATCCCAAATGCTTTACATGTCGTGCAGATCGCTCCTTTTGGGGCGGGAGCGCATGCACCAGATTTTGTTGAAATCCTGGGGGCTTAGAAAGGGCGTAATTGAAGCCAATAATGTTGTGGCGGAAAGGTTTTGAGTAAGAGGACACTGGCAGACCTAGCGCACCCCCTTGTCGCAACCGACAAAGGCGCTTGCATGTGGAGTTCTACTATGACATTCTTCTTTTGGTGAGGCCCCAAACGGAATCCACAGGCTTTAAAATTGCGAAAGGTCAGGTAAGAGCTCTTGCACAAGGGCATAGTGCTGCTTGGTATATAAGGTAGCAATGTCTATTTTCTCCGTTGTGAAATGCGCCAGTTAGATTCCAAAGCACATCTAACTCACAAAGTTAAAATTAGTACGGGAAACTTGCGAGGTCCATCTCTCCCTTACTTTCCCCATACAATAAATTTCAGCGCAACGCCACCCGACACAAACGGGAGCTGTTCCAAGTCAGCCCCTACATGATCCTCAGAAAGGACCTCGGTACACATAACCAGCGCCGCTCTAGGGTCCTAAGTCCTGAGCTTCTGAGAGACCCTACTCCTGAAACAGCCGGGTGCCCCGCATGATGGCGAACAGCTGCGCTACCACCTTCACACATCCAACTTTCCAAGGTGTATCGTGGGACGAGGAAGCTTGACCCTGTTTCGGCCCTATCCGCATGAAATCTTTAGAAGAGTCCGCTTTGGACGGGAAGATGGGCCGCGTCATTATGGATACATCCGCATTGTGGCGGGGTTCTGGTTGAGGATACTGGCCTGGCTCCAAAAGCACCACGATTCGTGAGACAGCCCAGTGTTGCAAGTAGTGGGAGGGCATTAATCTCTATATTCACCGCTATATGACCTTGGTTTCCATTTCATGTTCCATCTTCTTTTCCATCTTATTCTCCATCATCGGGGCAGTATTCCTAGAAAGCCCACTTTTCCCTTTTGGATCCCTTGGGGCCTGTCTGCATCTGGGCTCTCCTAGGAATCAACCCTATGCTTGCAAGTAACAGGTGTGAATAGAGTTTAGGATGGGCCCACTCGACAGATGCCTTGTGATGGCGCTGCAGAGTGGCATCTTGCAGCGTGGGACCAACTTCTTCAAATTGCTTTGCGCTGGTTGCTTCAGGCGTCCTCGCTCCCTAGGCTCTAGCTCAACGGAGATTCTGCGATGTAGCCCTACAGCAACTCCTAAGGCCTGAACCCTGACATACACCCTCAGCTTTAAAGATCCTATCAGCGTTTTGTTGGCAATGCCAAGGCCAGCCCTGAATCCTAAAGCGGCAGGATAGACAACTGAACTGCCCAGCAATGCTGACACGCCGTAGCCCCATGCATGCAGACTGGATGTATATGTATATATGTATATAATATATATATATATATGGCTACTGATCAAAACCACGTGCCCCGAGTGCACGTTCCTATGCTGTCTGATCCGGAGGGTCTGGATCGCATACTTGATCCGGAGGGTGTGGAACGATGACTGACGCTTGCTAGTTCCCACAATGATGCAGGGTGAGTATGTGCTGAATACTT